GGTCAACAACATCTATGATGGGGGTGGGGACTTAATTGAGGGCAACGCACATTCTCTGGTGATAGTGGAGGGAGGTGGAGTCTGTTGGAGATGGGGTGTTTGGGGAGATAGCAAAGAGTGGCAATCACCATGGCTGGGGGTTTGAGAAGCTGTTCACACTAAACAAAGAAATGCTGGTCATGGTCATTGCTGACAGTATTTTAAAATTTTCTTTTACTGTGAAACTGAGCTGGAAATTGTACAATTCACATAAATCTTGAGATATGTTGCCGGGTATGGAAGGTTTGAGTTATAAAGAAAGGCTGGATAGGCTGGGACTTTTTTCCACTGGAGCGTAGGAGGTTGACTGGCATCCTGATAGCAGTTTATAAAATAATGAGAGGTATAGATAGAATTAATGGTAGTTGTCTTCTCCTTAGAATTGGGGATTTCAAGACCAGGAGACACATTTTCAAGGTGAGAGAAGAGAGATTTTAAAAAGACATGACGGGCAAATTTTTTTATACAGAGGGTGGTTCGCATGTAGAATGGCTTTGAATATATCCATTATTGGACATTCAGTCTTACTGCCCATGTTAAGTCAGATGACAAGCTACTTGATAAGGATAGAAGCAATATACCAGGGAAGGTATAATGTTTTATTTTTCTGTGTGTAACTTGATGCATCCCTTTAAGGTCTCAAGTTGTTGTGCCTTGCTAAAGTCAGTTTGAGATGAATTGGCAACAGGCAAATTGAACTATTAGGGAGTATTTATGGCACAGAAAACAACTATTTAACTCATTAGTGTCTTAATGGCACAGATTGTGATTGGTGTTACACTAGATATATAGAGTCACAGCTTCATAGCTATGTTGGCAGTGTTCAATGCCAGAACATATAAAACCACTGGATGATTGATGCTGCTTTGCTAATTCTTAGATAGATATCAATTTCTACAGCACTCTCCTTACAGCTGATGCTTCCTAGATAGAGAAAGTGCCCAATGTTCAATTGCACAATGGGGACGGGAGGCTTTGTTGCCATCCTATCATCATTGTCTTGGTCTTCTCATAGCTGACCCCAGACTAACCTTGTCACTGCTACTCAAGACTGGCCATCACATTTTGGAGGATGCAAAATTCTTTGGCCAGCAAATGATGGCATCTACAAAATCCAGGACTGCCAGCCAGCGATACTGCTGCTGCAGGATGCCAAAGTCAAGTCTGAACCCACCATCACCTTCCTTGTTCTGAATTTGATAGCCAAGAAGAAAAGGAATGGGGAGAGTTTGCAGCCTTATCATTCTCCTGTGCCTGTGATGACATTGAAGGAATCTATTGCGCCAATGCTAGTTCTAACACACCAGCCAGAGTCAAGCTTTGTAGATGCTAATATACCGTTCCAAGATGTCATCCTTGTAAAGTAATGAGATGGTGATGAAGGAACAGACATGAGTAAGAATCTGAGGAGAGAGAATGAGCAACCTCTGAGAGAGCGCGCGAGAGAGAGAGAGCACGAGAATGTAAAATAATGCAAATAGGAAGTTTTGAAGAAACCTTTGGAACCAGACCTTTGTCATTCATAGATGATAGGAAACCTTCCCAATAGAATAGGCCACAAGCTACACAACAGGAGTCCTGCAGTGAGTAACTCACCTCCTGACTCCCAAAAGCCTACCCAACATAAGTCAGGACTGTGATGGAATACTCAGCTGGATAAGTGCAGCTCCAATACTCAAGAAATTTGGCACCATCCAGGACAAAGCAGCCTGCTTGATTGGCACCACATCCACAAACATTCACTGCCTCTACCACTGACACGCAGTGTGTAACACTTATAAATGCACTGCAGAAATTCACTGAGGCTCCTAAAACAGCATTTTCCAAACTTACAAGCACCATCATCTAGAAGGACAACATCAACCGATACATGGGAGCAGTACCTCTTGCAAGTTCCCCTCCAAAGTCACCATTCTGACTTGAAAATATATCCCCTTCCCTTCACTGTCACTGGGTTAAAATTCCAGAACACTCTCCCCAACACACAGTGGGTCAACCTACACCCAATGGACTTTGTCAGTCAAGAAGACAGCTCACCATCTTCTCAAAGGCAACCAGGGACAGGCAAATAAATATTAGCCCTGCCAGAAACGCCCACATCCCATGAATTGGATTTTTAAAAATCCAATGATTATTCAAACTGGAACCAAATGACAAACAATGGTGGCAGTGGTGGTAAGACCATTCTAACAACAAATTGGTCATTACAAAAATACACGGAGAATTCAGAAGACTCCCAGTTAGAGACATACTGAAAGTTGGTGCCTTTATGTATATAACATTTCAAAATCAGAGGGATATGTTATCATTACACAACTACATACATCACAGGTAAAACGCAGATCAACACAGACACATTATTGAGAGCTATAGTTGATCAAGCAGTAACCTATCTCAGAAGTCAAAGCATTTTCAATCGTCATAACAAAAGATTCTGAGAAGAAATTTCAGATTCGGAGGTATTGCCAAGAAGTTTGGTCAAGATATAATTGAAATAATCAACTCTTATGAAGTAACACAAACAGCGGAAAGACGGAACAATCATACTCTTGAGGATAGTAAGTGATTACAGTGTGATAGCAAGGGAAGATCAAAGTCATATTGTCAGAATGTCACAAAATCCCTAGTTCAAGTTGGGACACATCAGACCTCCTAACAGAATTTAATTGCTTGAACAGTGTTCACAACTATGCATTTGAGATTTCCATGTGTCCACTTCAGTAAAACAAGCCATGAAGATTTGCTTGGCAATTGGGAATGAGGGTCTATGCAGACATAACACATCATGATTATTAGCCCAGAAGCTAAAAGCTCCCCAAAAGACATGAACCAACTAGAAAACCAACTCAAAGTACCATTAAACTTCTGTAATTAACTGGGATTCATGACATTTGGACAGAGCCTATTGAATGAATAGGCTATGTGAGCAGATGCAAAGAAAATGCTTTTTGTTTGGATGGAGAGTGATTGAAGTGAATTGTTGAGTAAGTGATTGAAGCTCTCCAAAACTATTTGCTAGACAACCTGAAGATTTTTAGCATCAAATACTTGCAGTACTGGTGTAATTATGAAATGCTCCTTGCAACTAAGCTTACCTAAGTCCAATACACAAACTCAACAGTGGACACAATGATTAGATCATCCAAACATAGCAAGATCTGTGGATTGCATATACAAAGAAAATGCTCAGCTTTCAATCAATTTTTCAAGGTATATGGCAGAAAAAGCCATTGACAGAGGCAATGCATTTAAGCAAAATCTAATACAGCTCCAAAGGGCCATATATCAATCCAAACAGACCACAAAACAAGGAGTATCTTCAAGCTACAATACATGATCGACAAACCTGAATCTGCTTATGTACGGGATGAAACAGGCAGTGGTGAATACATGTTTTACATTGACATTGAGATTGATAATGTTAACACACTGTCTGAAGCGTTTGCAATGATTCAAATGATCCATCTTCATAAAATTGGTGACTATTCACATATCAGATTAACACGGGAGCAATTGTCAATATAGTATCTCTATCGACTCTAAATTACACGTTTGCATAGACATGGGAAGCCCTGACAAAATCTGTAAATGTAAAGCTTTTCACATACCTTGTTTCACTAAGTAGAAGAGAAATATTGCTGAAGTGCAAATACAAAATCTGTCAGTCCATTACAAATATTTCTAAAGAAAAATAATGTTTATTTTGAGTATTTTGTGGCAGCTCTATTGTTGTCATTAATTGTTAATCACTGTGATGATGTGGTAATGTTGTAAATAAATTGGCAATATGATGTGAGAGATGGTAACAGGATTGGACTTGATCCTCATTGAGATGCTTCAGAGCAGGTGGAACATTTATTGCTGAGGATTGCTAGTGTACAGATTAACATTCAGCTCCACATGAGCATGCCAGAAATTAATTACTTAGGAGTCTAGACAATAGTCTCTGAGCCAATCACAAGCCCAGATACCTTAAAATTCATAAACAAACCTACAAACAGAATCTTCAGAAGGGTAATTTTTCAGTAAATTGAAACATTTTTGGAAATTGCTCATGCCTTTTCATCTTTTTCAGCCTGCATTTAGTTTGCAGACTAAAAAAAAATTGATTTCCCTTGGTATAGATACTTTCTTTCTGCATCATTCAGAATGGACTGTTTTTATATCCATCCAGTTGTTTATTATTGGATATTTCTTTATGTACCTGGTACAATTTTGGTAAGCTGTTTGGATTTGTCTCCCTTCTAGAAGATTAAATTTGAACCATCCAATTGCAAGTGTGACGCATACATTACAAAATTAAGCTGACATAATCTAATCAGTTAAGTAGATAAAGGTTCATGCCAATTAGTTGCATTATTGTTTGGTAAGGTAACCATTAAGTTGAGGTAAGAAGTGTAGGCCAAAACTGTTATTGAAAGATATGTATGCATCTGTGGCTAGAAAGGCCATCTACGCATATTGAATACCATTTTTTAACATAGCAAGAAATAGGTTCTAGCATAATACACATGCAGCTCATTCTGATCAGTTACATACATAGCTGCTAACAATGATTAATCCATACAATCTAGCAAATTAGCAGCAATGATGCAATACTTGGACTTGCATTTGCTACAGTGAATGGATTTTGATTGTATTTAAAAAAGTGACTATTACGCAAATGCTAGCTTGCCATGAGTGCTACAGACCATAATTCACTTCTGAGTTGGTTCGTTGTCTAATTAGCAGCACAAGTCAACATCAAAACGATCCAAGAGTATCTCTTGATACACAAAATTATTCTCTTAAAATGTTTTATAGCTCTGATCAGTTATATACTGTAGGGCTTAATATGTTACAACTAGAAGATCACAAATTCGATTGGCCCTACTTGAATCAAAAATCATTACTTGACAAAAGCATCACAATAGTGAATTTAAAAATCAATTTGTACCTTTAATACTTTCATTTCTACTTACGTCACTTTTTAAGCTTCCAACCTTCATACAATGCAGTGTGCGGCTGTCCATACCAACTCCTTCATAATGGCCTTTCACTTGATTATGGTAAGCTTCTTTGTATTTGAGCTACATAAGAAATAGAATGAGGTCAATTCATTCATTGCATTTTCCAATCATAAACTACGTAAGGTGCATAAAATTCCTTGAGTGTTTATTTACTTGTTTTTTTTCTTATCTTTAGATATCAGTGTATGCAACAAATAATGTATATAACACCTCTTCTGCTAACTTTACAGGAAGTGTAAAAATTAATTTTCAGTGCTAGGAAGGCTGTTTGCTAGTAAATTCACTTATACTTGAATGAACAAACCCTAAATTTTTCTGGTGAATTTTGGAGTATCCAGTCAGGCAATACATAAATCCATGCCCATCCTATATTTGATGCCACATTTCTCAACAGGGTACCTGTTCTGGACCTTGCTGATCAAGGTTACTCTCTAATAGATATATTACTGAGACTATTAATGTATTATAAAATCTGAGCAAATTAGAAAGGTCAGATTAAGTTGTATTGTCATATGATTATCAGAGGAAAGTCAAAAGTGACTGTCACAGCAAAAGTCAGAAAGTTTGATCGGGAGTAAGAGTATTGGTGACACCATATCCTGGGTTGAATATCAAATCTAAGTCTGTTTACCTTCTAATCCATTAACAAAAGTTTCAGTCTGTTCCTATTCAAGATATTTTCTGATCAACCTTATTCAAAGATCGTATTTCATATCTCTGGAGCAGGTGGGACTTGAATCTAGGCCTCTGGGCTCAGAGGTAGGGATACTACCACTGTGCCATTACTAACCCCAGCTGTTATTAATAGCCACCACCAGTATACGCTTGAACATAACTTAATGAAAATTAACAATCACATTTGTAATTATCAATCTATCAAACTGAACTAGTTAGTATCAGCACAGAACTATTTAAGCTCTAAAATCAAGATTAAATTGTGATAACTCACATCGCTAGTAAATTTAGATAACTTGGCAATATTCTTGAACTGAGGTGTTTCACAGTAGTTAATGCTGTAACCTTTGGAAGAGTCTAAGTCCTTCTTGTACTTTATCTGAAAAGTTATAACCAAAACAGTTAAGAAACAAACAATAAGTATTGGGTAAGATATTTTTCAGTCCGATAATGGCAGATTCTGGTGCATGCAGGGTTGGGAAATTTCTCAAAGCGTATTCTGACATCATTATACTCTGTATTGGCTTTCACTAGAGCAGATTGAGGGAACCCATGGTGGGCAGCACTGTGGGTCTGTGGTTAGCACTGCTGCCTCACAGTGTCAGGGACCTGGGTTCACTTCTACCCTCATGTGACTGTTTGTATAGAGTTTGCACATTCTCTTTGTATCCTCCCAATGCTCCAGTTTCCTCCAGAGTCCAAAGATGTGCAAAGGTGGATTGACCATGCTACATTACCCATGGTGTTCAGGGATGGGTAGTTTAAGTGGATTAGCCATGGGATCTGCAGGGATGGGATGGGTCTGGGTAAGATGCTCTTCAGATGGTGACTGTGGACTTGATGGGCCAAATGGCCTGCTTCCACACTGTAGGAATTCAATGATTTCAATGATTCTAACCCCTGTGGATCTGTAGGTAAAGTGTTTAAGGTAGTGAAGAAGTCAGTTTAGGACTGTTGGAATGCTGGATTTTCCAGCCTGGGGATTTGTTGTCTAACACATTAGCAGTTCACCAGAATCTCTAAGGTGTGTGCACACCTTCAATGAAAATGACAAACTGTGCAGGCTTTTATCAGTTATGCTGAAGAACACCCAAGTGGAATCCTGAGACTACAAGACAAATCAGAAGGAATGCTACCTTGGTGGGGTGGGAAGGTTTAGCAAAGGTGGGCACTACAACTGCAGGAATGGGACTGCAAGGACACTTCTGCCTTGAGGTACCCTCTGAAAAGTCACTTATATTCATAACCTAAATAGTGGCTTTAGCTGCCAGATCACTCCAGTGGAGGGTCTCCTTCCATAGAATGGCCAGCAGATATAGGTATTATGGTTTAGTGCACCATTAATAATCCTGATTGAACAAGTCTGAACTTGTTAGAACATAGAACATAGAACAGTACAGCACAGTACAGGCCCTTCGGCCCACGATGTTGCGCCGAACTTTTACCCTAATCCTAAGGTCTATCTAACCTCCACCCCTACCTTATACTATCATCCATATCCATATGTTGTGTTCACAGTAAAACTAACTTCAAGTCAAATCAATGAATCTGTGTTGATAACATGAGGAGTACCACACTGCACCTTGCAGAATACTACTGACAGAGAGTTCTAAATTATCACAAATATTGCACAAACCAGAAACTGCTGTGAATTTACACAGTAACGACTGCAAGCACCTTTGTCACAAACACAAATTCCAGACCATAGAATTTCAGATATCTGTTTTGCTAGAGATAAAGATTATTGACTACAAAGATATCAGCAAAAAATATAAATAATTCAAGCATGCATTGCTATTATTAACGTGAGATAAACACACACACACACTCACTCGAAATTCCAGCCATATACACCTGCTGCAAAAACATCAAGCTGTTAGTATAAATATCACATTGTAAATTATTCTATGTTTTATTTACTTCACAAACTAACAAAGATTTTGTTCAAAGTTCTCTAAATAATTGAATGAACATGGTTTGCACAATTAATTACAATTCTGTTACCTCACTGACAAGCTTGTTCACTTCCTTGACACGCTTCATTGCTATGTCTTCTTCAGCAGTTAGCACGTGGTATTGGGCTGATCCCTTCATCCTTGCAAGATCTTTTTTGTATTTTACCTGTAGCCACAAAACAATTTGGCTGTTAAGCTATTTCTAACCATATACATTGAAGACAGGAAACCTTAATGACTGTTGAGCTCTTATACCATAGAAGTTAACACTGATTCCCAATTGCTTTGCCTCTTAGTGATGACAAAGGTTTGAGCAGCTAGCAATAAATGCGCTCTAATATGATGTCTCGACTCGAACTACTAGCCAGAAAACTAAATAACAACGCAAATAAACGTAAATTTTATTTCATAGGTTAATAGATTCTTGGGATAAATTACATGAATCTAAATCAAACAGCAATATGAATGTGATTTTTTAACATCAATCCATATCTAATTCTAAACCAGTTTACACTTTATTCTGAAGGATAATTCAATCATTGAACGAATCATTTTTTAAAATCATGGGCAGATATGTATTTTTCTCCTATTCATATCTTCTGTAAAGATATTCCAGATTAAACTGACAAAACACAATTAACATCTTTTTCATTATTGTTAAAATTTCAATTGCTTCTATGATACACTTCCCTTGTTGATGAGCAGGTATATGCTGAAATTACTATTCAGGAGATGTCTATCAACTTTTTAGCAACATTTTGAACTTTAGCATTCTCACATTACTTGCATACTTTAAGTCTTCTTGTTTCTCCAATGAAGTACAAAAGCTGCCTCTCAATCTACTTTCTACATCTCCGCTTTTACATATTGTTAAGAAACAAAGGATGGAGGATACAGGTTCATAAATGTAACGCCACCATGTTTTTAAAAAAATTGAGAAAGCAAGTTTAACCAGGAAGTGGTGATGGGGGAGGTTGGTGGAGGAGGGGCATGAGTCAGTTAGCTCAGGTGATTGGGAAGCTGCTTTGCAATGTAGAGTAATGCCAGCAGCATGAGTTCAATTCCTGCACAGGTGAGGTGACCATGAATGACTGTCCTTCTTAACTTCTCCCCATCAGATGTCTTTCTCAAATAAGTGAGCAGCCCTGTGGTCCGATAGAACAACAGTGGCTTTACCTTAATGATTAGGGGATGACAACTATAAATTTTAACTGTTGGAAGATTGGGGAGGAACGAGGGAGGTTGAAATTTTGCAGTTCCAAGGCCCTGGCAAATGAATGGGTTAGATTTAGAGTATACAATATGTCTTTATTTAGTCACAGTACAGGGGAATACAGGAGGAAAAACATGAAGGATGACGTATGTTATGCTTAGAGAAAAGACAGGAAGGTTGAGAGGGGTGCTTCTCAAAGTGATATCAATTGTACATTTTGGAAGATAACAGAATGAGAGCAAGAATATGCAAGGGAAAGAGTATGTTACATGTATATTTTCTGAAGGGTAGTGAGAGAAATGGTTTCAAACTTTAAAGGAGAATGCAATATCAGTGGATATGGAAGACTAGGTTAAGGAAAATTCTTAAATGGCACTAATATTAACAAAATCTGTAAATGGAAGCAATGAATGAGGATTGCAGCCAGACATTTGTCCAGGTTCAAATAGTTTTCATCCAACTGTAGTACAACAGTTGTGGAAATAAGATGTAATTGATCATTATCTTCCAAAGCACATACATTTGGAGTTAACACTAGACAATTTGAATTGTACTATTTCTCTAAAAAGGAGTTAGAGACAAACAAAAAACACAGTCCAGTGAGTTAAATACATTAGGCAAAGGTCCTAGAGACAACCATCAGAAAGACAGCAAGTTGAGGAGTTGGAAAATACCAACTAGATTGGGGAAGTGAACATGCTTTTGTGAAAGAGAGCTAGCAACCAAGTAATCTGGATGGGTTTTTGACAGTCACCAAAGTGCTATACAGGAGCTATTTGATGAAATGCAACACAAGAAATTTCAAGTTCACATTGAAGCTTGTGGTATTCAAGTAATGGCTTCGTATGGAAATTGATTGGGAAACAGACAGATGAAGTGTGGGAAAAGGGACATTCTAAGACAAGAAGGATGCAACTGTGGTATCTCCTTGGATACAACCCCAACTGTCCACTCCATCAAAGTAACTTTTCATGTTTCAGTTTCTGACTTGGCTCTTCACAAGACCAGAGCACACATTGAAACCAGTTGAAGAACTGAACCTCTAGACATCTATTCGTGATACATGCTTAATAACAAGGCTTCATCACATTAGCAGAGGTCCACATGTTACTGTTTTTAGGAAGGTTTGTACAGTACAGTGGGTAGCAACCAAGTCTCTGGGCCACTTTGCCACTTGATGGGTTTGGAAGGAGACTTGATAGTTGCAGACGATGCATTAAAACACATCAAACAGTCTCTTGGATGCCTGGAACTCTGTGATCAGTGGCACATCGACAAAGGGTGGAGCCATGAGTCCTGAAACTGCAAGATATAGGTTAGCCAGGAACTCCAGCCTACCCTGGAGGTGTTGCCAGTCTCCAGCCTCCAGAATTACAGTGGGTGACTAGGTGAGTGCTCATGCAATGTCAGAGCCAGAGTTTCTATGGGAAAGCAAGAGCATAGGAAAATAATTTGCTTTTGATGTTGTACTCAATTATCAGGAAGTTTAAAAGCAAAAAGATCTTCTCTGCAATCTTCCAACCACCTGTCAGAAAGTCAAAACATCGACATGGCTGAGAGTGCAAATGTAGTTTTGGTTATCATGGACACAAATTCATTTCTGCTTCTGAACAGCTCTGTCAATTTCTGATAATGTTACCTAATTCTGGAACGATGTAATTTTCACTGCACAACAGTATGGATAAAGGACCTATTTATTTCCTCTAATACTTACATCACTTGCAAGTTCATTAGCTCTCTTGGCATTGTAGTATGCTGGTGTGATCATAGCAGGGAAACTGCCTTTGCCCCTGGGTTCCTCATAATCAGCAGAGTCCTCAGGCTGTACAGAAGTAGGGGACAATATTAGCAATCGAAAATAATTATTTTTGTACTGAAGTTTGCATGTAAGGATCATGTTATTTGGCATTTCGCTGAGTAACTGTTGAAAATCAATCTAACAATAAAAATGTAACAAAAGATTTCAAAACATAAAGACCACAATCTTGTAACTCACATCTGGGGGCTTTCATTATCATAATGATGGAAAACTGGCACAAATCAATGAAGGGTCACAGAAGAGTCTTCTAATGGTTGTAATTGTTGTTCTCAGGTAAACTCTCAGCAGTGCTAAAGCACAGAATGGGATCATTCCCATTCCTAGTGAGTAGCCCTGCCTACTAAGAGCACCCATCAGAAATTAGACCACCTAGGGTGCATATGATTCTTGGAAGCAATCTAAACAATGATTGGGATATCATTGACAGTTTGTATCTGAACTTGCAATATGCACCACCAACAGTAGGCACTCCCTCATGGAAGCTAAAGATGGAGCGTTACTTCTTACATAGTGGCTCCTCAGTAAAAAGGATCAGGGCACCCAGAATCAAGGAACAAATGGTGTTGAATTAATCTGAAGAGTCCTGAAACTGTGGGCAAAGGACAATTTAACTCTTGGGTGGAAATTCATTAGTATCCAGTTTTGGATGCAAATGCAGGGACATGACAGTATTGCATACCAAAACCAGATGACTAAATCTGGCAGGCTTCATTATCACTAATGGATCTTTAGCACCTCCTCAAGCAGCTTGATCATTTGAAGAAATTAATGTCAGCCACTTCCCTCATTGATCTGTCTATTAGTAGAGGGAAGGAGCAGCTATGTTAGCTCGAACAGTGTGGAGTTGGGGGGGTAGTATTCCTGCTTCACTGGGAAATGCCTAGTGAATTTTGTAAAAAAATAGTACCATTTGGTGGTAGTCACATCTTCAGCTGCAGCAGTGATGTACTAATCCACAGCGGAGTAATCCCAGCTCCTGAAGCACTCCACAAAATACAATTTAGTTGATAAGCACAAGGTATATGGATGCTGGAAATCTGAAATATAAACAGAAAGTGCTACAGGTCTGGTAACATCTGTGGAAAAAGAGAGAAACAGAGTTAACGTTAACATTAAGTCCAATATGACTCAAATAGGCATACTGGACTGAAAATGTTAACTGTTACTCGCTCCACCGATGCTGACAAATCTCTTCAGTTTCTTCAGCACTTTCTGTTTAATTCCAGTTTAGCACAGGAAGCCTGAAATAGGTAATAGCCTATTTATTTATGCGAATGCTGGCACTAAGTTCTGTTTTAAGTGATTGCCAGGGGCATCTAAAAAAAGTTTTTCCCAATATTGGGTTTGAGATACTTCAACTTGTGTTTGAAAGCAAGATGTTGGCCCTTGAAATTAGATACTTTTACATCAGTTTTACACACACACTAAACAGGATTAATGTTGAGTCTTTTTTTAAATTAGCTAAATACTCATGCAAAATCCTCTGCGTTGAAATCTATATATAACTCTGTGTCTTCCAAGTAGTTATTTTTAGCTGGAGAGGCATGGCCACAGGCAGAACATTCATATTGCATGTCTGTTGTACAAAATGGACTCTAAGGCAACGGTGATTTGAAAACAATTTTGGCTCCCAGTAAGGAAGGTATGAAGCAAAATAATAAGAAAAACATTGACATCAAACGTCAATTTAAAATATTCTTATGCTTGATTAATGTTTCACATTTTTTATTAACCAGTCAATTATGAAATACAAGTTTTAAAGTTGACTGACAGATAATTCAAAAATGGACATGATCGAGAAAAGAGAGACTGCTTTCTGCTAGGTGACCAACCTGACTGTACTTCACTGAATTTTCTCTTGTCATAGCAACTTGAGCACCTGCCGCTTGGCTCCAATTTCCTTTAATATTCCTCTCATAGTCTTCATGGTATTTAACCTGGAATGAAAATGTAAAAAGAGAAAGAACAAAAAATATGTAATGTTAAACCTGTTAATATGTTTTAAAATTACTTTTTTGATGGTGGGCCCCTTTAAGGACTACTATATGCGATTCAGTGCTTGAAATGATTGTGCAACAAGTGCACTTGTTGCACAATCCGCAATCACATACAACCCAACCTAACATACAGTCTGAAACAGTCTGCACTGGAAGCAGAGATTTGCACAATGTCTGTTTTTCTTTTAGATATATACAGTGGATGATGACATTGCACTCCCATGAGGCATATTTCCAGCACGGAGTAAACATACTAATGCTCCAGGCCATATGAGCCCTTCAGTACCATTTCATGTTTGAAATAAACATGCCTCACCATTAAATGTCTGCGCCACCTTCTGAAAATAAGTGTAAAACCTCACAAAAACCATTCATTTTCACAGAATCCCAGGGACTTTGCAGACTCAGTGACAGTACTTGCCACAAAAGAATTGGTAAAGGTACTTTTACAGTTCTAATTTGCCTTAACACCAGTAATGAGATGTATTCATAGAATCCCTACAGTGTGGAAACAGGCCCTTTGGCCCAAGAAGTCCACACCAGCCCTCAGAACATCCCACCCAGACCCATCCCCCTAATCTACACATCCCTGAACACTACGGGCAATTTAGCATGGCCAATCCACCTACCCTGCACATCTTGACTGTGGAAGGAAACCGGAGCACCTGGAGGAAACCCATGCAGACACAAGGAGAATGTGCAAACTCCACACAGACAGTCACCCAAGGGGGGAATTGAACCCTGGTCCCTGGTGCTGTGAGGCAGCAGTGCTAACCACTGAGCCACTGTACCGCCCCACCATAGTGGTTGGCTAACTCTACCATTTACTGTCCACAGTGGATGATTTTGCTTCACATTTATGAAGCTGGAATGTGTCTTGATAATTTTTTGTTTATCTAGGACGGTACCACACTGGAATTGAAAGCAAGTAATGCTTTCAAATTTTAATAACATTGCTGAGCAAACTGTTGTATGAGATCTTTGGTCTTGAATGGGTTAATGCTGAGGAGTGCATTAAGCTCCACCCAATATGATCTCACAAGGACTTGAGTCGGGAGAACAGCTTTCAATCTCAAAGAAAGTTGACTCTGCATTTGAGTATCTTCATGGGGAAGCAATTTTCCCTTTGTTTACCTAAATGTGGGGGTGGACCTGTTTGGTGACAACGAACAGATCTCCCCGACCAAGAAGATGACTCACCGCATAGAACCAATTGGCGGGCAATCACTAGCTGCAACAGTGGCAATCAAGGTCAACCAGAGAGCAGCAGCCTCCTGGTTCTAATGTTCACCAGTCAATGCATGCCCCTTGGGTTATCCAAGTTTTGTTTCTTATTCTTGGGTGTAGGCATTCAAGGAAAGAAGCAGATTTTGGTGGGTGGAGTAGTGACGTTCAGAGATCAGCCCTTGTCTGCATCTATGCCTCTGATTACCCCCAGCTCAGGGAATTGTAACTTGCTTATGCCTTCAGTTCTTGTGAATTAGGATTCTCCACATACATTAAAACATTTCACCACTGTGATATCTTGTCTTCATTGTATATATGTCATATTGCCACTGTATCATAATCTTAAAAAGCTAACTTTGAAATATTATTGTGTCTCAGCATGTTGTCTGAGCTGTTTATTTTCTTTAAGTTGTTTTTCAACGGAGGGGATTGATAATAATTGCCTGTTAGGTTTGTCTGAGAGCAGGAATGACAGGAATGATGACTCTAGTGTTGTCCTGATTTTAAATGTACATAATTTAGTAATCAAGAATGATACTAATTATATAAGATATAAATTATTCTAGCAAAATAACAGTCTCAGTCTGGACAATGTCAAATTGACATTAACCACAGAAGATTGTATTATTTTAATCAATTGCCAAAGGCAGAAATCAATATTAAGAAACAGTGACTAAAAATTCCGTGAATTCTGGGAATTGTGCATTCCCAGAACGTTAACATAAGTTTCTGGATTATTGGTCTAGTCTAGTGACATTACTGTCATGCACGCAGCCCCTCCTAGACCTCAAACCCTGCCTGGAGCACGAGTTCCTTGGTCAACCACTGGGAAGTCACCTTCAGATGGACAGTTTTGGTGGATTCCTGATGACTTTGGGTGCCTGGAGGCCAGCTGGAAAATTCCAGTCAGCTTTTGACCTTAGGAGGCCTTTCATCAGTCTTATGTAGCTCTATGCCTTTTGTAGGTGAATAGCCCTGCCACAGCACCCCGCCTCATCTGACAGTCATGGAAATAGTCCAGGACAGAGTGTTGCTGGTAAACCAGCAGTGAAATTTCACACCTGCCTAACTCCACACCCACCCTCCTCGAGGCCTACAAATTCCATCCCTAGTATGAAAGAAATGGAAACTGAATCAAAGGAGGTGATAATAAAAAGTATTGTTGAAGGCTTGATCAAAGAGGTGGGCCTTAAGGAAGTTCTTAAAAGGAGGAAAGAAAGGTGGTGGAGAAGAGTGATGCAAGCCAAGAATTCCAAAACCTTGGGCCTAGCTGGTTGAAGGCACAACCACTATTAGCAATGTGATGGGCATGCCATAGGGGGCAAAACTTAGAGTTCAAGATGGGGTGGTAGGGCTTGATGAGGTCATAATAAACATGAAGGTCAAGGCCATGAAAAATTTGAACATGAGAATGAGAATTTTAAATAGGAAGTGTGAGGGAGCAAGGAGTCAATGTAGATCAGTAAAATCTGGGATGATAGCTTAATAAGGTATTTCACATGATTGGGAAGGGGCTAAATTAAGGCAAAGTTTCTCAAGGGCATAGTCATTGTGTTAAACATTATTTTTTGGCTAGATATTTTTAGTACAATGATGCCAGGTGTACTCAATTTACTCCCTGGAAACTGGGATTCATCAATATGTGTTAGACTGGTGTAAAATGGAGCAGGCAATCACAATTATCACCCAGCTTGGAGATGTGTGCATGCTTGTTTATTTAGGTGGGAAGAAGGCAGAGGGATAATGTGAAATGAAGGACACAATTTTAAAAGGGATGCAAAGGAACGTGGATGCATGTAAACAAACATTATTGAAGGTGATAGGACAGGTTTGGAGAGCAGTTAACAAAGCAAACAGTATCTTGAGCTTATCAATAAAGGCATAGGGTAGAAGAACAAGGAAATTAAGCTAATCATGTATAAAACACTGGTTCAACTCAACTGCAGCATTGGATTGTGTCTGGATGCCACCCTTTTGAAGTGAAGGCATTGGTGAGAGTGTGTACAAGATTACTGAGATTGGTTCCAGGGGTGAGGAATTTCAGTTCTAAAGGTCCACTGGACTAGGGACTATTTTTCTTCGAGAAGTGAAGTTTGAAAAAAGTTTTGATAGAAGTATTCAAATCGTTGGGGTCTGTTCGGAGTACACAGCATGAAAACTGCTTGCACTGGTGGAAAGATTGCGAACACGAGGGTACAGATTTAAGTTAATTGGCAAAAGAAGACAAAGCAACATAAGAAACATTTTCACGCAACGTATGATTGAGATCTGGAATGTGCTGCCTGAGAGTGGGTGAAGGCAAGTTTATTTGAGACATTCAAGAGGGACTGAGATTATTATCTAAAAAGGAGAAGTGTGCAGGCTATAGGGTGAAGGCTTGGGACTGGTATTTGGTGAATTGTTCATTCAGAGAGCCAGTGCAGACAGGACAAGCCAAATTCAGTGATTTAAAACATTGTCAGAGAATCTAGTTGTGAAATGGAAGAACAACATTTCCAAAAAGATAAATTCAGCAATGTTTACCCACAGCTCATAATAGACCGCACAGAGGTACAAAAACTAAATGTGCTACATAAGAAAGGAATGCAATCACCCAGTAACCAGAATGTTGAGCAAGCCTTGTAGGTCATCATCCTGGCTGTAAACATGTGATCACTCCTGCCCTTTATATTACAACGATAAAAGCTAAAAGAACATGTTTAAAGGACAGTTTGACACAAAAGACAATTACTACATTGATCAATAGAGATGACAGTGATTAAACAAATACACTGCCTTATATTTAAGAAACTAATTCTACCAATTAAAATTCAAGGTGCTAGATATGCTGCTTCAAACAGCTTAAGACATAATCTAAATTTGTCCATAGTATGCTGTAATTGCAACACAAAATAATGATGATGAGTAAGAACAAGAGCACTTAACCAACAAGAGTAGCCTAGAATGACTTAAGGCTGAATACAACTTGTTTCACATATACATGAAAGTTCAACACACTCAGTCAAATGTTAATGTAGGTAAGTTGTACAAGAACTATGCATTAGACTAAAAGGCATACTGTTGCCTGAAATAGATGGTACAACATATCCTTACATTTACTGTAGATTAAACAGGCAGTGGCAAGGAAACTGCATTTCTCTTGAGAGAGGTTTTGTTGGAGATCTCTGATACAATGACTGTACACTTGTACCTAACAAACAAGTCAGGTAAAGGATTGTGCTTCTGGTTGTATACAATCAAGGTCAGACACATTTAGTGTATAAGCAGATGTGCCTTTGCTGTTCCAAAATGAAAGTGCTATCGCTGTGCATGCGCTAATATGTCTAATTCTGCATATGTACCTTCCATTCATAATTTTCTTCTTGTTACAGATACTCCAGATCCTTAGGAGCAACAAGTCAGGCCTCTCACCATAATAGTCCTTTCAGTATTATTTTAAAACAGTTATTTAAAATGGGACTCAATATACCAGAGGGTTTTAGTGAATTAGAGGAAGATATATACAGATTGAATCATTTAATACAACTACTCCTTAAATTTAAGCAGGGCTGTCTGATTCTGTATCACTTAACTGGACCAACCACATGTCTATAACAGTAAGTCAAAAACTAGGTATTACGCAGCAAGTAACTCCCCTCCTGGCTCCCTAAAGCCTGCTCAGTAGCTGTAAATCATAATTTGGGATTATAGTGGAATACCCTGCACTCGCCCAGGTGAGTGCAGCTTTAACACCACCCAAGAAGCTCAACACCAACCAAGACACAGCAACAACAAAATCAGAAAATGTTGGAAACCCTCAGCAGGCCTGGCAGCATCTGTGGAGAGAAAGCAGAGTGACCCTTCATCAAAGCACACCAGCCTACTTGAACAGCAGCCCATCCACCATGTGCAAAGCTCACTTTCTCCACCATTACCACTGCAACAAATGGCAGCAGCTCATTCAAAAAAACACGTCCCTAAACTGCAAACTCTAGCGCCTGGAAGAAAAAGACCAAATCACATGGGAACACTATTATCTCGAAGCTCCCCCCAAGTCGCACACTGTACTAACTTGGAAATATTTCAGACTTCCTTCATTGTAGCCAAATCAAAACCCTGGAAACCTCTCCCTCAAAGCACCAGGGGAATTCTACAACATACAAAATGCTGCAGTTTGATCAGTAGTATTCGCCTCCTTCTCAAATCTGTTAGGGACGGGCAATAAACATTGCCCTTGGCAATGATTTGCACCCCTGTGAACGATTGGAAAGAAACTTGAAGAGAAGCAGCCAGTACAATCACAAGAAGCAAATCAGGAGACTTCTCTGGAAATCTTTACATCTAATCTTTCAAGTAGCATACTATTGCAAATTGAAACAACCTTATTAGGTCAAAGACCATGAGAGGGAAAGACCCAAGAGCTTCATCAGAAATAATAGTTTCAATATTAATGAAATAGAAACAAAATGCATTCAATGACCACATGCAACACCACTAATCCACACATACTTCAAACATTCCATCAATCCATACAGGATTAATATTTTCTAGAACATTATCGATAGTAGCAAGATTTTGGCTTCCTATAGGGAGTGAAGGATTACCAGCTGCAGCATTTGCAGCACTGTCAGGGTGGAAGGAGGAGAAAGAAAGGATTTTGATGCAGTTCCCAAGGAGGAAAAGAGATAATGGAAAATAGATAGTTTAAGGCTTCCCTGCAGTATCCATTCTATTTAAACTAATTGCATTCTCTCAAAGTTATCTTGCAAGCTATAATGTTAGAAATAATACTTACATCACTGGCCAATATGCCTCCTGCTTTGGCATGCAGTAACTGTGGAGTGTCCACCACTGAAGCATACTGGGAAATGTACTCTCCATGTCCTCGTTTATACTCCACCTTCAGTAATTTAGAAATAAACAAGTTTCATTACTGTCAAGCTTTAACAGTTAAAAATATTTACTCATCAAGTCTGAATTACTAAGCGTTTAATAGTTATTCATATTTATCTCAGATAAACTTGGCTTCCTAACAACTAACTCTTTGGCAAAACTGGCTCCTCTTCAAGGGAGTCTGTTTGACATGAACTCCGCCCAGGTTTCTCAGTTGAAGGACACACGTATTAAGATCGTCAGTCCTGCACAGGATCAGGACTGAAGTAGCACCAAAATATCTGCTAACATGTAAGCCATATGTCCAGGAACATTACAGCAGCTGGAACTGTGCTTCAACATTCTCTGCTGATTTGAAACATCTGCACAAAATGCCCATTGGAAAGTTTTAGTATTTCTCCAAGGAGAACCCCATAAATAGTTGTTCACTAGGCTCTTGCTATTTGTAGAGAGAAAGCATAAATCTTTAGGCAATAAAAACATCTGAAAGCACATTAGTTCCTGAAGTGTATGCCATAATAGAATATCTGACTTTGCAATTTCCATGCCAGTACATCTTATTTTTGTGCTTTCAGAAAGCATCATGGCTAAGGTCATGCAGTTATTATTGTGTTAGTTGCTACCAACATTAATGGCCAATTACAGTGTGCCTCAGCTTGCCCCCACTTTAGGCTAGCTAATTTTCTATCAATCTCATCAGCCTTTATCTACTTCTAAAATTGGGAATGCAGAGATGTCTCAAAACAGCTTCTGAAATGCAACATGCTATCAATGTAGTCAAGGTTTCACTTCAGAATTAAGGCAGTTACAAGCTGCAGATCAGATCATGATAAACATGCATAAATCTGTGTTTTGACTAGAATTCCATAACTGCCCTTAAAGTATTATGTAATTAATCCAACTAAAATCAATACATACAGATTTACAGACTTTAACACAGAAGTTAACAAGAATAAATTTTCTATATTTTTTCCTGAGGGGAGGTTACTTTTAAAGATTGTTTAACCCTTTCATTTCTTCCTTGGGTTTGTCAATGTGATGCACCATTCTGGTTGCAATGGCAAGTTCCATAGTTCCTTGCCTCTCTTAAAGTCATTTCTCGGAGATGTTTGAGATCAAGCTGCGGTTAACATCTCCCAATTCTCCCTCCCTCACAGTGTACAAGTACCTGGAAACTACTGAATGAATCCCACAATGAAACTGGTTAGATCAGTAAGTTAATTTGGATCACCGTCTCAAGTGATCTATCACTAATAGCACAGCATGCATTACAGAAGCACAAAGCATTATCGTCAAGTGCTTAAAAATCAAACATTCACCACTGAAGTTTTAACAGAAACTAGCCTCTAAGTTAAGACAAATCAATCACTTACATCACTGATAGCTTTTTGAGCCTGCGCAACTCGTACAAGCTTTGGACTCGTAACACAAGCAGAGTACCAACTTTTGTCTTCTTCATAGGCAGCCTGGTAAGCGTGTTGACAAATTAAAAATGGGGAAACCAATTAAACAAAACACAGAACTGTTACCCAATTATATTAATTACTGCCAAAACCAATGCCTAATCTTGAAATACGTGAAATAAATTGTGGTTAAAATAAACAAGAGAAATTGGTCGTGTGCTACCTTGCTGACAAGTTCTGTATTTTTCTGTGCTTGAAGAATAGAGGGCTTATCAGGTGGTAAGTGATATGATTCCTTTGTTTCATCCCATGCCTTAGTGTACTGCACCTGTAAGGAAGCACTTTTGTTCAATGATGGAGCTTCTTTGCATTTGTATGTGAAAAGAAAAGCATAGCGGCATAAGGAGGGAAACTTTCTTGGATGCAGCAGGTATTAGAAAACTGCAGGGTCACATCCAATATTTGTCTTTTAGTGCTTTTAATACTACAGCGATAGGAAGAGCTCAACTAAACCACTGTCATTTTTTGTAAAACATCAAAATGCTAATTGCAGAATTATGGTGATCACAAGTCAATAGCCCACTTTACATGCATCATAATTTTTACTTGCATCAACCCCACAGGATCTGACAATATGTTAGGCTGTACCTGCCCATATCTCTGTAGCTGACTTTGCCAAGGTTTGTTGAATAATGTGGTGGACCAACAATTTTGGAAGCCTTCAGCAAACCCACCTATGTACACACAATGGTCTCACATCAAGTCTTCCTGGCCTCATCAGGCACAGATGCACCGAGCATAGGATTATTGCCAAAAAAAAGGGCTTGTAATGTGGGAATTTGATGCCCTTGTCCCTAACTCACACAACCTCTTATGCTGATGGCTTGAAAAGGATGTTTCAAGACTCAGCCCTGCAAGACTATCCTGAAAATTAGCTAATGACCATTCTCATGAACTCCTACCAACATTATGGCAGGAGTCCCAACAGAATAGTCACAGATTCTTGGGGCAAAATATAATTAAAGATTGATTTTGTTGCATATGACATGTAAATTTTACAATACCTTCAGGCTGCTTACCTTACTTGCAAGTCTCCCAGCCTTACAGGCATGCTCCAGCTGCTTCGACTTTATATCCCAATGAAAAACTGATTTGAATTTTTCAGCTTCCTCGCGATACTTAATCTAAGTACAAAAGTTCAGTGGACATTTTATGATACTGGATTTTAAAACTGACTGTATTAGTACTTGGAAGATTTAAGCCATGGTAATGCAACTTGTGAATTTGTTACTTTTTTCTTTCCCACCTTTTTACTGAATGTTTCTTAATTGTTTTTCTTTTCCTGGTCAGCCTCCTCAAAGTTCAATATTTTCACATCAACATCAATCAAAAGCTTCTCGTCAACTTCTCACAGATTGAGTCCCCTCCTCAAGTAATACAGGAATCAAGTTGCATGAGGTAAGGTGAACCAGCATTACAGGGCTGAAAACAAAAAATGCTGGAGATCACAGTGGGTCAGGCAGCATCCATTGAGAGAAAGAACACTCACATTTTGAGTCTAGATGACTCTTCATCAGAGCCGAAGATGAAGAGTTATCTAGATTCGAAACATTAGCTTGCTTTCTCTCCATGACCCACTGTTGTCTCCAGCATTTTTTGTTTGCAGTACAGATTCCAGCATCAGCAGTAATTCGCTCCTACAGCTTTCCAGGGTGACAGGCATTCGAGACAGCTTCATCTTGTCCTTATTATCATCACAATAAGTACATCATGGTGTCCCAAGAGATTAAATATGAAAGTTCACACCATACTCACTAAAGCAACAAGAAGCTGCAGATTGACTAAATAAAGAACAGTTTAAAGTGTGAGATAATAAGAACTGCCGATGCTGGAGTCAGAGATAACTCAGTGTGAAGTTGGAGGAAGACAGCAGGCCAGGCAGCATCAGAGGAGCAGGAAAGTTGACATTTCGGGTCAGGACACTTCTTCAGAAAAAAAAAACAAAGGGTTCCGACCCGAAACGTCAACTTTCCGGCTCCTCTGATGCTGCCTGACCTGCTGTGTTCCTCCAGCTCCATGCTGTGTAATCTCATAGTTTAAAGTGTAGTGTTTAAGTACGTTTTTAATTCCACAATTTGTGCAGTCATCATAACATGTACACTTTTCTTTCTCTTTCTATGCAGTATCCTCATTGTCCAAGGGTTGCTAAATCGTGGTTCATGCTAGATGCCAATGGGTAAGGCAAGCCCTAAGAATGATCTCAGTTGCAATTGGAATTGAACCTACATTATATACCATTCACTGGCCAACCAGCCAACCGAGCTAACAAGCAAAACATATTCAGTTACTGGTATCAATCAGAATGCGTGTTGGATAGAATAACAGGTTTGATTTTTCTTTTGTTTTGAAAAGTTATCACGAATAAAACCTGGAAATTTAGGAACACAATAGGAGAATGGTTTGTGCCTGTGGAATCCCTATATAAACTAAAAGCAAAAATTCTCCATGCTACTGAAGTACAAATTCTACCAAAATATTGAATTCAACAAGCCAAGGTTAAAATTGAAATAAAATGTTGGGATTTCAGAAGAAAAATAACTTGATAAACTGGATCATGGCGAAGTAAAGGGAGTAACCATCTCTGTCATGCAAACATAATATTAACAGTGAAAACATCCATCCATGTGCCTGACGTGACAAGTTAAGACTTAAAAAATCAGCTTTTATATCTTCAAGACTAGCTTATTAAGGGTCAGTTTAATCTAAAATGTTGTATAAGTTGTGTTCAATAACTTTAGACCAATTTGTCAGTCATGATTAAAAGCAACAGAATGTGGTGTAGCACAGGGGAAATGGACGGCCAGCATTTAGAAGACTGTAATTTTAACCTCCACATGAAGTTGAAGCACAAGCAGCGAGGTGTCACAGTTGCTGTCTAGAAATAGATGTTGCTGTAACAGGCTTCATTCCAAAGCCTAGTTGTCACCAAGATTAAAAGAAAATATACCGAACACTCTGCAAAACATGTGAACTATAGGAGATCTAGGTCATTTAATCATTAGTTATGGTTAAACAACTGCTTTATCACCTGAATTGAAGTGAAAGAAAAACATGTTGTATTTAGGGACAGACTATTCAGTCTTTTAGTTATGCCCGATGGTCTCCGATGATGTATTATGAGAATTATATGTATTGCTCCCGTTTTCAATGCCAGTTACCCACCTCACTGGACTCGCTTTGTTTTTTCACGTTCAGGTTCAGGGGTGTATCTAGTACACTGGTAAATTTGTTGACTTTAGGATTGTGCCTGCGAATTAAAGTAAACATTGCCACCAATTTACAATCAAAAAAAAATAATCAAACGAATTTTCTACTAATTTCACTCAGGTTGTGCAGACAGAGATCTTCAAACATACAGAGTGCTCCTACTATGAATAATTTCTACAAGTTTTGTCGTATAAATCTCTGCGTCTAAAATCAGACTAGTGACACTTACAGTGTTCACTGTAGAAACAGAAGAAATATTCAATAACCTTGCGCTTTTCATTGTTCCATTTCAATATATTTAAGTGTAAATTAATATTGAGTCATAAAAGCCCTTTAGTACGATTAGTCCAACTAAGTTGTCATTAACTTTTAAAATGACTCACGCCTGACAGTACGGTTTCTTCTGGTGACTGACAAAATTGTTGACCGTTAAGATCATTTTGCAGACCTCACAGTGGAAACAGGACTTATGCCAGGTCTGTAGGTAGCAAAATAAACACATTATTAACCGAGCCAAACTTTCAATTTTAAACACACATCTGACATTCAAGGAAATTTCAGTATCACTCACCTGGTCTATGCAGACTATTTTCTCGGCAGGATAGACGCCAAAACCACAGCGAGCGCACGGTTTATTCATTTTCAAAGAGTATTTTTGTTGTTCAAAAGTAAACAGCAATAGTTTCTTTTTTATTTCCTTCCCCTTGGTCTGTTTCTGAGCTGTGCTTCTTGTGATCTCGCCTGGACTAGAACCTGCCACCAGCGGTCAGCCCCTTCATTTCAGGATTAATCAAGTCCCGCCTCCTCTCCTTGGCCATTGGATCCAGACGCCTATTTCTAAGCACTGATCTCCACAACTCCAGTCAACTTTGGTTACCAGGGTTGTCAATCACAAAGCTTGTATCAGGTTTAAGTTTGGAGAGTGACTGGTGTTTAATGTCTCAGTCCCAAAATAGCAATATTCGACTAAATATGTATTGACGTCAGCCATAAGGTAAAAGGGCACTGACAACATTTTATCAATCTAGATAGCCAACCTTCCAAAAGCAAATCAGCACTTTGCAGCACAAAATAAAAGAACGAACTGAGGATGCTGGAAATCTGAAAAAAAAACAGAAATTGCTGGAGAAACTCAGCTGGTCTGGCAGAATCCATGGGTAGAAAAGAGTTAACGATTCGAGTCTAGTGTCCTTCTTCAGAATATCTGATTTTCCTTGCAGCACAGTGTCTGTTACTGTGGATTTTCTGTTGGCAGTCCAAAATATTTTTTGCTGTTTAAAGCAACACAAACTGTATTATACATTGTTGTTTGCGTACACATCTTTAAAAATAAAGTGAGTGTACATTGTAAATCGATTCCTTTCTATAGCTATACATTTGGTTATCAAGTGGATATTTTCACAAATGTACAATCCTGTGTTAAAGTTGTTACTGAGGAAATTATGAACACCAGCACACATCTGCCTGGAATGTCATCTCCACAAAATCAGCCTCAAAACATCAGTAAAGGCAAAAGTAGCACAGTGTGGAGCTGGAGGAACACAGCAGGCCAGGCAGCATCAGAGGAACAGGAAAACCGACGTTTTGGGTTGGGACCCTCCCTCATTTTCTGAAGAAGGGTCCCGACCCGAAACGTCAGCTTTCCTGCTCCTCTGATGCTGCCTGGCCTGCTGTGTTCATCCAGCTCCACACTGTGTTATCTCTGACTCCAGCATCGGCAGTTCTTACTATCTCTGAGTAAAGGCAAAGGGCTGAGAAAAGAAATAAAACTGGTCCCAACAACTCAATAGCCCATGGTATTCAGGTCTTAAAAACTTCCCCTTTATATTCTACAGTGATTTCATCATTGCCCTTAAGCTTAACCTGTTAACTGCTTTGTATGTTCAAGACTTCCATAACATTCAAGGCTACGGGCCTATTACAGGAAAGTGAGACTAGTGTAGGTAGTAGTATGTTTTTGGCAGTACAGACTTGATGGGCCAAAGGGCCTTTTCTGGACTATATGATGCTATGATTCTCCCATGTTAATACTTAGACAATGGAACAGAAAGTCACATATCCAGATTTGCTGATGGCACAGGGATAGATGGTATTTTAAGTAGTGTAAATGGAAGTGCAAAACTATAAAAATGTATTGAGAGTTAAATGAATGAGAGAAACTGTGGCAAATGGATAAAATGGATTTGAATGTAAGAGTTGTAAAACATCTTCCTTTCTAAATGGTGAGAAATTAAAAATAATGGATGTTCATAGAAACCTGGTGTCTAGGGTAAATAGATCATTAAAATATCTTGACAGGTACAGACTATAAACAAAAAGGCTAATGACTATTGATCTTTGTGTCTAAATGATAAAACAGGGTAGAAGTCATGTTTCAGCATTACAAAGCTGTGATTAGACCACATCTTGAGGAAAAGAACTGTTCTGGGAATTACATCTTAAAATGTATATACTGGATTGGAAGGAAATTGACCAAAATGATACCTGGACTCCAAGCATTAAATTACAAGATTACATGAACTGTTCCTTGGAACCAAGAAGGTCAAAGGGTGATTTGTTCTACATTTTGAAAATATGAAGGGGAACAGATAGAACAGATAAAGAAAAATCATCTTGCTGATTGGAGAGTATATGTCAAGGCAGAATAGTCAAATAATTAGTGCCAAAACTGAAAATAAGAAATACTTCTACACATGAAGGGTGTTTAAAGCCACAAAAACTGTATTATACATTGTTGTTTGTGTACATGTCTTTAAAAATAAAGTGAGTGTATATCATAAATTCAAACATGTTTGGAGTATTTTCCTCCAAATAATAATTATGCTGGTGACTTAATTAATTTTAAATCGGAGATCTTTTTTCATCAACTAAAGGTCAGAGTTGCCTTGCTGATCAGCCATATCTTAATTAAATGCTGAAACAGTCTCAAAGGCAAAACAGATTCATCCTGATTCTATATGTTCCTAAGTGATTAATAAAGCTGCTATTTCACTTTAAAACACAAATGACATCAATAATCTATTCAAGCTCCATGTTCATAGTTTGTGATATCAGTATAACTCTTTACTCACCAGCAGTCTATAGTGCTGCACATACGTCATTCTTAAATTCTTTCTCAAAGAACTAACAGGAATGATTTTAGAAGTTGAATATGTTTTAACTTCACCACTTATCACAGAGGCTAAAATCAATCTTGAATTAAAGTGTCAAGTATGATAAATCTGAGAATGTTAAGAATTATAAATGGAATAAAATCACCAGCTATATTATCTAATCAACCTGTTAAGACCTGGAGTAGGTAGTACGTGAACCCAAAGTCTCCTGGTCCAGAGGTAGGGGCACTACCATTGTACCACAAGAGCCCATTCACCAGCAAATATATTATTTTTAATTAGAAATAGCAGATGGTAATTTAAACTCTGTGATCTAATTATGGAACTCAGCTGATGTCCATGACTTTGATTTCATTGTCTGATGTCATCCAAACTCCTTAGTAAGTTACTGCCTTATATTTCATTGCCTTCCATCTATTTTTATATGTATATAGTTAGATTAACGTTGCTGTACTTTTAAAATGATTGAATAATTAGGAAGATGACAAGATACATACAAATCAAGTTTACCTGATTGCTTGGCATGAACGTGTATGTTTTGATAGAATCTGCAGGATAAGACTTTAAAGATCAGAGTTGGAAAATTATAATATGGTGAATGGTAGTCATTGTAATGTTGTTATTAAAAATTCAGTTTTTAACCAGTTTTTCTCCAATGTGCTTTCAAAGGATTCTAATTAGTATAATTGTGGATGTACGTTTCTTGGTGAGAGGTCAGTATGAGACCAGCAGAGACTGAATGACATCAGTGATTCTGCGACATCACTTCGGTGTTTAAGATGTGAGCAACTGAGTTTCAAGCATCAATTTTGTGAATGGCAATGCAGATGAACCATCTGTTATTACTTATATGTTAGGGTGAATGCACATTTTGGAAACTTGTAAATAGATTAAAGTTTTAGCAAAGACGATGTTAAGAAAGCACAAGTGTTGCTCACAGATACTACCACTTACAAACAGGTGGCAATAGACCCAACACCGCAGCTCGGTAATAGGATCACCCAGACACTGAAGAGACTAGAGGATGCAGGACAGATAACTAAGACAGACTACATGAGAATGAAACCAGAAGACATAAACACTCCCCCACTTCTTTGGACTTCCTAAAGTACACAAACCAGATCCCCCTCAGACCCATTGTTTCCCTACCGGACACATCATCACATAAACTGGCCAAGGACCTACAGCAGACACTGAAACACCTAGCCGACGTCAGATCATCCCATTCTATTCACTCAATCCAAGAATTCCCTCAAGAACATAAAAATCAGCGACAATGAGATTACGGTATCCTTTGATGTCACAGCTTTATTCACATCAATCAACATCCCACTAGCCAAAGAAACACTGGCCACACTATTACAGGAAGCAGGAACGCAGACCAGCAGCTCCATCAGCAAGGACAACATACCCTCAAACTACTAGACCTGTGCCTCACCACACACTTCGTCTTTAATGGACAAGTATACAAACAGATCAGCATTACACCAATGGGGTCATCCATCTCTACACTCACTGCAGAAGCAGTCGTGCAAAGATTAGAAAATACAATCCTCCCCTGCATTCAATCTAAACTGTGGATCCGGTATGTAGATGACACATTTGTCATTATTAAACGCAACAAGTTAGAAGAGACCCACCACCTCATCAACAGCATATTCACAGGAATTAAATTCACAAGGGAAGAAGAAAACCACAATCTGCTTCCACTTCTGTTCGTCAGAGTTGAGCGTATGATCAATGGGGAGTTCCAAACCTCAATACACAGAAAGGCAACCCATACTGATCAAATCCTCACCCTCCATAGCAACCATCCCAATGTCCACAAACAAAGCTGTGTTAGAACATTATTTAAACATGTCATGACACACTGCAACACTCCAGAACTGAGCAGGAAAGAGGAAGAGCACCTATACAAAATTTTCGCTATGAACAGATATTCCCGCAACTTCATCTGCAGATGCCTACTAAATAGACAACAACAGGAGGACACAGAATGCCCTAACACACTGGCCACATTGCCCTATATCAGGAACATATCAGAACTGACAACAAGGCTCCTAAGACCACTAGGAATCATGGTGGCACACAAGCCCACAGCCACGCTATGAAAAACACTCACAAGGATTAAAGACATCATTCCGACAACATGCACAACCAACGTTGTTTACAAAATACCATGCAACGACTGCCCACAAACATTACATCGGACAGACAGGAAAGAAACTAGCCATCAGAATACATGAACATCAGCTAGCAGCAAAACGACACGACAAATTCTCCTTAATATCAGTACACTCGAACAATGAAGGCCATCAGTTTAACTGGGACAACGTAACCATAGTAGCCTGAACCAAACATGCACACGCACGGGAATTCCTAGAGGCATGGTTCTCAGCCCGTAATGCTGATCAATAAACATATAGAATTGGACCCCATTTACAAACCCATACAGATCAAAACCGGAAATTACACTACTCACCATAACGGACCAGACAGTATAAATTCCCAAAGAAGTAGAACAATATCACTTCATCGGAGGC